GGGAGAGGCCGTGGTCTTCCTGATTCGCTTGCTACTTGCAAAGAAGGCTGAGAACTTATCAGCCAAATCTGAGAATGAGGCTATGGAGTTGGGCTCCAATGTTGAGAACCAATCCCTAGCAGCATTAGTTAGCGTTTGTGGAAAGGCTTTGCACATAACTTGATTCGCGCAACTTCCAAGTTCATGACATCAGTATATACATTGAGATGGTTGATGGGACGGTCATCCCATCATACTCGTTAATGCGAGGATATTTGAATCTGTCGGACAAGGGATATGACAATATCTCTGGCGTGAATGGAGTGTTAGGGATGAAACCTGTTGGCCCCCGAGCATTCCGTTGGAGGCCAACTGTAATTCCTCTTGAATGATCCGGGCAATTTCGCCGGAATCCATGGCGACCGATCTCGAGCCCGAGGCCATATTGTGAATACTCGAGGTTCCTACCCCTCCAGTTGCGGGGTTTGGTGGTTGTGCTCAAGCATCAACCATAAAATTGCCATGCTCTGCCTGTGCTGGCGACGGATGTGAATTTTTTTGACTTAACAGTTGTGTGAGCGTGGCCACCTGCTGATGGAGCTCTTCAAAGGCTTCAGTTGTGATGACCGTTGGCAGAGGTGCGGGCACTCAGGATTCTTCATGAGGAACCGGTTGATCTTCGACAGGATAAGGGATGAGAGCGGTTGAGCTTGCGAGAGAAAGACCTGATTGTGTGCTAACCATGGCTTTTGGTAGCACTTCCCACAGACGACGCCAATGATACTACCAAAACTTGTACCTGGCGGATCTTGAGGATGATGACTGAAGATGGACACGAACAAAGCCTTCCAAATACCTGAAACAAAGGCAACGAGGTGTGTGCTCATCGCCCCTCCGATACTTAAGTCAGAAAAGGGATTTAAGGATGAATATATGTTGGAAATTGTGTATGTAGAATGTACCTGAATAATGGACCTGGGTCTTGTATTTATAGCGGTAGGTAGTGCACTTTTAGTAGGATTGAATAAGTTGGACGTTCTTATCAAATAGAGTCCTGCCTGAGAGAAATATATTATTTGTAATATAATTGCATGACCAATGATGTTATTGTTGACATAGAGTTCTTGTGGACGTAGGAGTCCTGGGTTGAGATGTTTGAATCACATTGAAATCCTTAGAAGGTAAGACTTATTATGGGCTCGGGTGAAAAGTTTGGCTGGAAGGATAGTGCTCGATTACTTAACCTCAAGGACTTAAGGGCTTTAGAGGATAGAGTTGAGTCCTTGGGATAAATACCCCGAAGACCATATAAACCCCGAGGACTATACCACAGAATGGAATTAGAAGATTCAGAATGTCCTCGAGATAATAGTCGTCAAGACATTCCAGTCCTCGAGTATCCAAGTTGGTAATATCAGCAACTAAGAAGGAACAAGTTTTCTCCACGTATTCGAACAACCAGCCTGGTGTCTTGATCCAAGTGTACGAAGGTGAAAGAACCCAAACAAGAGATAACAATTTGCTAGGGAAGTTTGAGCTGCCCGGCATTCCACCAGCACCTCGGGATGTTCCTCAGATAAATGTCTGTTTCGACATTGATGCCAATGGCATCTTGAATGTTTCGACTGAGGACAATACAACAGGTCAACAAGAGAACAAGTTTACCATTACAAATCACAAGGGAAGACTGTCCAAGGAAGAAATCGAAAAGATGGTACAAGATGCGGAGAAATACAATGCTGAGGATGAGGAACTCAAGAAGAAAGTTGAGGCCAAAAATTCTTTGGAGAATTACGCCTACAACATGAGAAATACTATCAAGGATGAGAAGATTGCTCCCAAACTTCTTGCTGTTGACGAGAAGAAAATCGAAGATGCTGTTGAGTAGACTATTCAATGGTTAGACCTCTTTCAATTATTTTGGTAATGCCGGAAAACCCTCATCTGTTTTTCATGAATGATGAAAAAGGCTAGGAATTTCGCAATTCAATTCCATCACAGGAAAATCTCTGCCAATGCTAGGAGAAAACTAGGTTTTGTATTTCAGTTTTTTAGACTGCGATATATCAACTATATGCATTTGTAAAAATCTGGCATTATACCTTAATTCCTCTTTATCCATGCAGTGAAATTATCCAACAGTTATATTTCGTTTTATAAATGTTCTTATCGTAGTTTTGTGAGTTTTGCTACATGCACAAAAAAAATTTCACAGAATTGTTACAAAATTCCACTTGACGGATTATCATTGGTTCTCATCAAAAATCACAAAAAAGGTACCATAATTTTATTTGTCTTCTAACAGTAATACTCAATCACCAGAAATGCATTTTGTATTTCTTATTTTTATCCTCCAAGTTTGCTGATCCCCACCTTGTTGGAGAATTTCAGGAGGTCGGTCGGCGGCGAGATGTGACGGAGATTAAAATATTTGGATATATAATTTTGTTTATATATATATATATTTCCTTTTTTTCTTTTTTTCTTTTTTAAATAGGATTTCAATTGAAAATATAATAACAAAATAAAAAGATCTTGTACGGGTTCAGGGAATTTAAGAAGGACAATATTTTATGTCCTCACCCTACTGAAGGTGCGTAATGCAAGGCTAGTTGGGGGGTGAAAAATTTCTCATCCTTAACAAGTGATGAAATTTAAACTTAAATGAATGAAAAAATTTGTCATCTTTAACGAAATGATGAAATTTAAATTTAACTGAAGTTCAATAATTCAATTGAAACAAATTAATCTAATTGAAATTTTGTTGAAACTTCAGTGGCCATGATTGAAATTTTGTGTTATCATTTAAAATTATAATTATTTTTCATCCAAATTATGATTATAAACTTAGTTGCTTTACTCTTGTAATAAGTATACAACTTGTATTAGTTCACTAGGCGAAAAATATATATTTATTTCCAATAGACGGACCTGACCAATTTCAAATTAAGCATCTCATATTACCATATTATGGGCAAATCTCAAAAGGTTTGACCCAACGGTAAAAAAATTCAGTGTTTGACTAGAAAACTTTCCTTGCAGGTTCTAAGATCTCCACAAACTCTCTCTATATATAAAGATAGAGAGATATACTTGCGCACTTCGTAATACTGAAACTACCTTGTTAATTTCTACATACATTCTTTGCTACAAAAATCAGATTGTTTTGAGTTTTCACTGCTTTTTCCCTTGATACCCGGCAAGATCATGTCCAAGTTTTTATCAAAAATCCTACTTCCTATATTGATGCGCGAGGCCGGGATGTGTGATGTTGGTGAAGAAAGATTGATGATCGAAAACCCTAATATGATCATTCGAAAGTTGCAGATTAATGATATTAAAAAAAATTGTGGGCCGGTCGTAGACGTTGAAGAAGAAGAATATGGTTGTGAAGAGACAGAACAAGATGATGATGATGATGCATGCAAGAAACTGAAAGAAATTTCAGTCAAGAAAATCATTGAAAAAAAATACGAAGCAGCCCTTAAGAAACCGGTTGTTGAAGACCCATTGGAGAACGACTCAATAGTTATATCCTCTGAATCCAGTGAGAGAAAAAGAAAGAGAAATTCATGTAAGAGGAAGGCGAAAAGTAATGGTAGAAGTGGAGAAGGATCTTCATCGAGAAACAACGAGAAAAACCGTACTAATCCGAGGGAAGTGCCAGCGCCTCCATTGCCCATACAATTCAAAAATGCAATTCTTGACATAGCACAAGGTAGAACTGTCTCGGAAGTAAAGTTGGTGATACAGAAGCAATTGTTCGCTAGTGATATGGCTAAAGATCAAAATCGGTTCACCATTCCGGCAAATCAGATTAGAGAGGAGTTCCTAAGCAATGAAGAGAGGATATATCTGTCAAGGTACGCGAGTAAGGGACGAAAAGTGGCAATGGAAGTGAAGATAATCGAGCCATTGCTTGGAGAAGGAACTGTGGAGTTGAGAAGATGGGACTTGAAGAAATATTCAGGACGTACAAGCTTGTCGTACGTGTTGAATAAAACTTGGGGGGAAATTTGTGTGAATAATAAACTCACGATTGGGGATGTCATGCAACTTTGGGCTGTTCGAGTTGATGAAGAATTGCTGCTTGTGCTTGTCAAGCTTGACTGAAGAGGATGATGACCAAATTTTGTAGTTAGGCATTATAGTTACTTGTTTTTCTTGTTGGGTTTAACTGAAGAATTGTATGTTCATAATAAATTTTACAAAATAAATAATACGGTATTCTTTGGAGACGATAATTGCACGAATTGTTTTAGTTTCAAATTTCAATTTGTATCTTGGGGCTCAATCAATATAATATCTTCATAATCGCCATTAGATGATCAAGAATTTCGAATACAAGCCTGTGGGGTTTGGGATTATCAGAATTGCTTGGTGACTGAAAATGATAAGAATTCAGAGTGCGGGCACAACTTTTCTACTTTTCTATGTATTAACAAGCACGAAAACGAACTCGTCCACGTACGCACATATTTTCCCGCGCTTCGAAGTTTTTCAGTTTATATGCGTATTTACTTGACCACATCTGGAATATTTCAAGCGTTGCCCATTCCAAATATAAGAAAATATATACGGAACTGCTTCTCTAAATCTAGAAAATCGAAATTGGAGGGAAATCTTTCTCCAGGTAGTCAGGGTTCCTCTTTGATAATTAACGAAGCGTTTAAAGTTTCGAATATTTTTATCGCTGATTTTTTATGATTTGATGAATTGATAGGTATGGGTCTGGATTTCAGTGGTGACTTAGCTAGCCTTGATACCAAAATATTGCACCTACCGGAGCCTACTCGGACCATCGAAGCCAATCGTCATCTGGCCGAGAAGCTCTTTGATCAGTGGCTTTCGCTTCGGGAAACAAATAATCAGGTAAAATTGTTGTTATTTCGATTATTTATTTTCAAATTTTGTCTATCAATACGATGCACGCTTTTAGTGTATATATAGGTTGCTGTTTAATTAATTGGAGTTTCTATTTGGGTGTTTTCTTTTTTGTCTGTTAAATTAGGTTGGTTTACGACGTGTGAGTTAATAATATTTTACATGCAATGATGTTTGGGTAGAGCGGCGAATGTAGGGGGAATTACCAAAAAATGAGAAAAAGATGTTGGGGATTTCATAGAGTTGCATTGTGATTTTTGTTTGAAATTCCATCGTTGTTTTCTGTTTCATTTTCAAAAATCATTCGACGGGGAACAAACTTGTTTAATTTTGGAAAGATATGGAAAATTATAGCCGGGTCTCCATTCTGTTCAAAGTGGAGATAGGAGATGAAATGAAAAGAAAAAACTCTATCCAGTTTTAGCCCATGCAATTGCAGGTAAGATATTTGCTCTATAAAGCCAAGAAAGGTCATTCTTTGAATTTCTCTGGAGCATCATCTAGCACAAATGCTGCAGCAAGCAATTCTCTTCCTTCAATGTTTCCTGCTGTTAATAAACGACCACTTTCACCGGAAAGTCCATCCGGTTCACCTAGTGTCAAGAAACAGAAGGCGTCCCCTTTAGGCTCTCTCAAGAAATTAGTGAATGACCCTGGCAAAGAGCTTATCCCGCAGGTCAGAGTAGCCAATAATGTCATTATATTATAGTGGAACTCAACTTTGAATATTGATGTTATGCTGATACTTGTGATGAATGCAGTTCTATTTTCAAAATGGCTGTCCACCCTCTAATGAATTGATAGTGGAGTGCTTGTCTAGAATTAATCAGTTATTTCCTGTTGACATGAATGGACTCCAAATCAACGGTGAGACTTACGGCATATTCTTGTTTGGCACAGTTGCACCAGACATAAACACTGAGGATCTCATTGCTATTTGTCACGTTCTCTTCATACATCTGAAACTTACAATGTAAGATGTGAAAAAAATTTGTGTGCCAGTGTCATTATGCTGATTACATTTTCATGAATGTTAGAATTCAAACGAGTTACAAAGGAAATATGTGAGCTCCCATCATTCTTCTCCGCTGCACTTTTTAGAAAGATTGACATCAACTGCACCGGCATTGTGACCAGGTAGATGTCATGTTATTATTTTCCTTTCCATTCCTTTCCTTTTGTCAAGATTTACTTCAGGTAGATTGCGCCCGAGTGAGAAAATACTGACTTACACCAATCCGATCGCCAAAAAATTAGTTACGTCATTCACAAGTTTAATCACATTTAACTTAACTAACTACTTTAGTTTTGAATGAGGAAGCCAATTGTATATGATTGCATGCTGTTAGATTTCTCTCTGTCCTTTCATACATGCTCACAAATGAGAAAATATTGACTCACACCAGGATTTATGGGAATATGGTAGTTTTATTAGGTGCATGTTCAATAACATTTACCCCTCTAACTTCTCAAGTACCTTGTTGTTCAATCACATTTACATTTCTAACTTCTTGATTACCTAGAATTAGGGAGTAAGTTGTATGTGCAAGAGCAATTATTTATTTTTGATTGATCTGGATTTTGGCATGCAAGATTCTTTAAATAATTTTGTGCAGTCAACAAGTCCTCAAAAATTATTGAAGAGAAGGAGGAGGAAGTGCCAATATTATTGAACTTATGTTTGCTATAAGCTGACCTTATTTTTGTGTGTCTATTTGATCATGGTCAAAACATGGTGCACTCTTGCATTTTGTTGATTTAATTCTACAGAATGTCTTGTTTGTTTATTGTAAAACTTAGTGCAAACTTGTTTTGCATCAAAGAAGCAAAATTTTCATAGGATTATAGGTGTCAATTGTGTTGGAATTGGTCATATGAGTTGGTTTTTATTAACTTTGACTAATTATTTGTCTCCATTTGGCAAATTTCAGAGAAAGAGTTCAACCTTCACCTCGACCGAATGCATTCTTTGCATTTCTTTTCTACAATTCTCTAAGTCTATTACTGTTATTCTTTTGGATCAATTTCTTGTAGAATTAAATTAATCTTTTAAGTCTCATACAAATGTTGTTGCAATATATGCACTATATTTTACCAACAAATTGTTGTGAAAAATGTGCAATACGGGTCAAGTGCATCAGTGAAAGGAAAAATCTTTGGGTAATGTTGGAAATATTAATAAAAGTAATGGAGAAAAAAAATACGGATAAAAATTATATAACCTTGTATCTCTTATAATTACAAGGAGAAAGACTCTAGTTATAAGGTTACAAATAATCAAAATTGGAAAGCTAAAACTACCTACGATAATCTTCCCTAATAAGAGTTGTTATAATAATATGTTCAGTACAATGAAAGAAAACTAGATTAAATATTCTAATAAGGAGACAAATAAATAATCCAGCTTGTCTAAAATAGACTGAACCAGTAAGATCAAATATTTTGACATGTACGATGAGGTCTAAGCTCCAATACAAAAATAAAATAATTAATAAGATATAAGAAATACAAAACTATGCTTGTAATAAACTATAAACCATGGTGAAAGTTCATGTAAAGCAATTCAATAAAAGTAAATGTCTGACTTGCAAATGAACAAAAAATAAATCTTCAAAACAGTGAATAATGAATCAATAGAAACTGGATGTGTTTATTAGCTGTGAGAATTGTTTCAGATACTACTTCTAATCCATAATCACTTTATGAGCATTTTAAGCATACTTGTGCACTTGAATCTTCTAGCATTAGTCTCCATAGAATGAGATGTGTTTATTGTATATTGGATCAACTGCAACTTGTTCATAAATTCAAAACTTAACTTCTGATTCTAATATTACAATTAGACTATGTTAAATCTACTAGCTAATTACTATTTTACGGATGACATAGTAGCTAAGGAGATAAACACCGGCATTTACTGCATCAGTCAAAGTGGTGGTTGACTTGTACCTATATCCTGGATTAATTATTGCCTTGTACCAATCATGTTTAGAGTTGATTCATCCTCTCTTAGGCTCTTACTTTGTCTTCTGATGCGGAAATAGAGATACATTTGTTGACTATTGGATTATCGGCAACATGTTGACAAAAGATATAGCAGCCCGGATATACGCAATTTTGAAGCAGTCCAATCTAAAGTACTTAACTCAGGTTATTCGAGTACCAATAATGATATATTTTTATAGAAGTTTAGCTGCATCATTAATACTAGTCAACTTGATAGTAGGATGACTTTAAACCTGTGCTCCGGGAACTTATGGCAACTCATCCAGGGTTGCAGTTCTTACAGAGTACACCTCAATTTCAAGACAGTTATGGTATGTTCTAAATCATTTGCTCGATTTGTTGTGGTGACTTTGATCAATTTGGTTTGAATTACTTTGCTATATGTTTTGATTAGTTTTTCTGATTGCTTATTACTACTGCAATAATATAATTCATTTGCTAGTCTACATTAATCTCTGCTGCCTGGCTTTCACAATCACCAATACCAACTCAGCATTACTGGTACACTTTGAAAATCTTGTCACTTATATGTATTATTAGTTGCTGATATGGATTACTAACAAGTAATTCAGTGATCCAATTGAAACAGAGTGAAGTTCTATTATACACTTGAAATTGGGGCAAATATGGTAAAAAATACACCATTAAAATTCCTTGTTTCTATTTCTCTTGTCATTGCGTTGCATGCTGTTAATTATATAGCAAGATAATGATCATAAATTTTGGCCGACCTTTCGGTAGCTGGTCCAATGCTTATGATTGCTTTCCATACTTTCTAGTGAGATCACGTTGCTTGCAATAGTGAGGAGGTTAGTGTTAAGTTGGTTGCCAGTATGAACATTTGGTGGACTTATATATGGACTACTCTTTTCCATTTAGAGGTGTTCACCTATAAGAGAAGTCACATTCCTTGATTATATATTAACAGTTCAATTTACTGCAATGGCCAGCGGAAACTGTAATATACAGAATATTTTATGAAGTCGACCGTTCGAGTAACAATTGTCTCACCCACAGAGAGCTGAAGCATTCGTACTTAATTGCTGCAATGAAATATTTGGATGAGGAAATGTATGTCAACCAATTTTTAAGGTAAAATCGAAGATGTTTTAATTGGTTTTACATAAAAGGAAATGTTCTTGTTTGATTTTCTTTAAATGCTAATGATTATAACACTACTTGGTTAAGTTCCTACAATAGGTTGTGCTGTCTGATGAGTCTAGGAATGCAAGATGAATTTTCTCGAAGGAAAAAAAGAATTGCTTGTTGTTTAATGAATTTACCTAAAGAAAGGATTATCTCAGATATGCTATTAGAGTAACATTTTTAACTTTTTTCAACAATTATCTCACTTAGTCGATATCAGATATGTTGTCAAAGTATGTATTTTTTTTAATTTATTTTTTTTTTGGATAAGGAGAGTAAGAGTATTTTGCTGTATGCAATATGCATTGACTCTTTTACCTTAATAGTGTTCATATAATTATACAAATTTTTGTTTTCTACTTTTATCGTACTTTGTCTGGTATGACAACCAACCCCCCTTCCCCCCTGTTTCATCTCTATTAGCTTTAATTTCCATTTTACCATTTCCTGTAGGTACTTCTCTTATGAACACTTTTACGTGATCTCCTGCAAGTTTGGGGAGTTGGATACGGACCATGATTTTCTGATAGATAAAGAGAACCTCATTACATATGGTAACCATGCACTCACCAACAGGATTGTTGATAGAATATTTTCTCAGGTTTGTCTTCTCCTGCTTTAATTATGTTGAAGTAAGTGACGGTTGTTCTTCATCGCTTTAAGTAGTTTATGTTCTAAAATTGTGAAAGGTTCCTAGAAAGTTCAGCAGTAAGGTTGAAGGAAAGATGGGATATGAAGATTTTGTGTACTTCATATTGTCAGAAGAGGATAAATCATCTGAACCTAGTCTTGAGTATTGGTATGTATACACTTGTTGCTTCTTGAGTATTTTTTATTTTTATTTTTTTCCTTTTATAAATCATCTGAAATCTATGAATAACTTTAATTCATAGATGTACTCTTGTTGCCGATGGAATCCTTTCAAGTTAGGCATGAGGAAGTTATAAAGTCGATCTGGAACTATATCTTAATAGAATTGGGATATGGATTCTATTGCAGGCTTGAAATTATAATTAAATGTAATTCCAAGATAACAGAATTGGCTATTATTCTTTTTCCCTTGACGTCTTAAGGACAAGGTAATAAATGAGATATCCTTCTTAATTATAAATCTGTATTTTCTGCAAGAGCAGTTTCATGATAAACCACCTATGGATTGTCCCTCAAAGGTCCAAAATAACAGAGGAGTATGTAACCTTTGAGTTAAATTACAATTCAAAATCCAATAATTTTGTATGGGATTCGGTAAATTACAATTCAAAATCCAATAATTTTGTATGGGATTCAGTAACCTAAGGTTTCCTGTCAAGTCATACCAAATACGAAATATGCTTTCGTAACAACTGAAATCCTGCGAAATTTTTCTTTCAAATCCCATGGTTTGGAAAAAAGGGGTAAGAATTGTAGTTGGTTACTTCTGTGTCCATGCAAAGAAGATCTTGTGTACTTTTAGAGTCTACTTTATGTTGACTTTTTCTCTTTATATCTATTAATATGTCATGCATGTGGTGAAATGGAATTATCTGAAGATTAATTAACTGAATTTTCAATTAATCATAAGCACTTCAATTTATTTTGGTAGTATATTCTCTTCTGTTTCTACATGCATTTGACACCAATATCTTTTATCAGGTTCAAGTGCATAGATTTGGATGCAAATGGAGTTATAACAAGGAATGAAATGCAATACTTTTACGAGGATCAGAAGCATAGAATGGAAGACCTGCACAAAGAGGCTGTGCCCTTTGAGGATATTTTGTGTCAGATAGTTGACATGATTAATCCACAGGTGATCATCCATTAGATAGTATTTCTTAAATTTTTTGGCTAATTTTTGAGTTTTTTGCCTAAGTTTTTAATTTTAATTTTTTTATTCCCACTTTAATTTAATTTTTCTTGTGCTTTAGGCAAGGAGTAGGTTTGAGGAACCGTATGACCAACCTTATTTTATTTTTTTTTTTGTTGGTCTGTAACAAATTTTGTCATTGTGGTTGCTTATAATTCTTTTCTGATCATGCTTTTTTATTTTCAGCAAGATCTTGAAAACCTTTTTCTAGCTATTGAATAAAATGCCATGCTTGTTTCAAAAAATAAACTTAAAAAAAAAGGTTAAACCCTAACCTTAAGGGTCCCCCACCACCCCTGCCCTGGAGCATCGTGAGGGAGGTAAATTGCAGGTTATGCCTCCAAGGGTACAGGGTGGAAGGCTGCTTGTACACTTGCACTTACCCAAGAGCCAAATCCATATTTCAGGATTCGAACCCTTGACGCAGCAGCCTCAAGCAAAGCTGGATTTCTCCACCCTCCCCTTTTACCACTTGGAGATGTGTCCTGGGGGCGTTGTTTCAAAAAATAAACTTGCTTCTACATCAATGTGCAATTGAGGGTTTTGTTTCTTCCTTGCACAATTTTACCCTGGTGTTTAAGGGACGTGATTGTCAGGGTCAGAACCATTATCTGACATTTCATAAATTATGCTTAAAGGAAACAGAAATGAAGTAGACAGTGATAGGCTGGTCCTTTTAAATTGGGTATTTTGACATACTAGAAAGCACTAATATGGAATTTCTGGACAGTATTGGAGGAGAAAAGAATTGTACATCTGCTGAACTACTATGGCTGAAGAAGCTGCTTCTATTGTCACTTTCGGCTTTGATAAGATGTCTGTGTTCAGGTCTTAGATTTGAAGTGGTGCTTCCACATTAATACTAATGAACATTGTTTGATGTGGTGCTTCCACATTAACACTAATGAACTTTGATGCAAACTAAATGCTTTAACTATGCAGGGGGCATTTTCTTGTAACAACATATTCCGAAAATAAAATTATTTCATATGCAGGATAAGAGCTACTTTACTTTAAGCGACATAAAGGGCAGCAAACTCTCTGGCAGTGTTTTCAATATCCTTTTTAACACCAAAAAGTTTGTGGCTTTTGGAAAAAGGCGTGATCCAGTTCTACTTCGTCAGGTATTAGGTGCAAGTTTATTTATTTAGTTCATATTTGATGATTGTACGATTTTGGATATGCATAGCAAGGTTCCTCATACTTATTAAAGATGTCTCTTTCCTTGTATCCAAAAGGTACATGAGTATCCAAATTTGACCGAGTGGGACCACTTTGCACAACGAGAATATATTAGGCTTACTACTGCCAATAATGTCTCTAGTGGAAGTTCTGACTGGGATGATATGCTTGATGATGACTGGGATTAGTCGCTTGATGATGACCCCCCCTTGCCAGACCCCGTTTGTGAGGTAATTGTTCATGCTATCATTGACTTCCTTTTCAGTCAGTCAGATTTCATTTTAAAGACAGTTCGTGTAGAAATCTCAAGAAATATGGGAATATTATGTGTTATTGTATAATTGATTTTGTGCCGTATTTAGATTAGGTAAATTTATATTTCCCATTGTTAGAGGTAAGCCTTTATTTGTTCTTTGTTTGTAATATATATAGAGGCTCATAGGGGTGTAAGGGTATCAATCAATAATACAATTGTCTTCAAGATTCATTGCCGTTTTCCATATGGTATCAGAGCTAGCGTCTTTCCTGATCGACCATCAATGACGAAACACTCAGAAAAGAGCAATCAATCCCGACATCTGAGCCTCAAAATAGGGAAGGAGAATCTCTCTCCACCATGGACTCAGGTGGAATAGATAACTCTTCATTCCAAGTCACCGTGGAGAGATTGAATGGAAAAAATTATCGAGAAACTAGGATATCTTACCGGAGAGACACAGCCTGCCACCGATACAATTTTTTTGCAGCGATGGAGATAAGAGAATTCGTTGGTAATTGCGTGGTTGGTTAACTCCATGAACCCCCAGCAATTAGAAAAGTCTTATCTCTTCATATCGATCACAAAAGATGTATGGGATGCCGCCAAAGCCGGACCTGAGGAGAGTCTCAACAGGCCGTCGCCTCAGGGCCCAACAATCAAAGGGGCCCAAAAAAAAACTTTTGTTTACATTTTTTTGCTGAAAACCCAGCACACGAGCCAGATTCTCTGCTGGAGGGGGAAAAAACTGTAATTGAAGAAATGCACAAATTTTGGGTTTTAGAACTCAGATCTGTGTGAAGATACACCGCCGAGTCACCGACGTACTAGAAGTTTATATTCTTTTGCCCTTCACCGCCATACTTTACTTAAGGAGGCAGGAGTCGCAATTGACTTCAATCACTGCCACAATGGAAAATCTAGAGAGCTTTAGTCGACGAGTTTAATATTTGTATATATGCTGATTGCTATGTGTATATACAGGACAATGAGAGATAGAAAGTGGTGTGTGAGAGAAGAGTGAATGAGAGAGAGTGTGTGTGATAATTCCAATCTATATCATTATGTGTGTGTGAGCGTAGCGTGTCAGAGAAAAAGAATGAGGGTAGAGAGAGTGCACATTCACATTGCGAAGGAAGTGGAGGTTTTACTTTTTTGACATTTATGCTTTTTTTAGTGTTAGAAATGGGAAATTTGTACAAGTAAAGAAAAAATAAAAAATGTATTTTCTCATTTGAAAATTTGTTTTGAAAATGCTTTTCATACTTTTAAAATTCTAAAATTTTGAACTATACAATGGACTGGTATAAACTTTTTTCATATTAGCCAAACCTTGAAAAATTTCTTATTTTTGTGAGAACGGAAAAAAAACTTTCTTTAATTTCAATAGCATATTTTACATAACTCAGAAATTAATTGAAACAAGAAATTATTGTTATCTTCCATTGGTTTATAAGCTCAAACTATTGACTTTGATCTTACCAAATAGGTAGGTTGGAACAAGGAAATTGTGAACAACTAGAATAATGATTTATTTTTATTTTTTTAAATTTTTGTGTAAACGATAGAAAGGATTGTTGTTCAATGATGAAAGAACACATTCAACATGCTCAAACACTTGAGATTCATCATATATATCTTGGTCCTATAATTCAAAATGCAATGATGCAAAAGTTGGCAAGCGAGGTGAGTAGTGCAATTATCACAAATCTGAACTATGCAAAATATTTTTATGTCATACTTGATTGCACTCCAAATTTCATTTTATTTGTTATTTTATTATTGATTTTAAATTAACAAAGTTAGTTCGTAAAACTCTTATAAACGAAAAAAAAAATTTACTCGCTATATACAATTTAGGAGCCCAAATTCAGAAGTTCGCCTCGGGCCCCGTGAAACACAGGTACGGCCCTGGATGCCGCCCGCGATATGTATTCAGACACAGAGAACTCTTCCCAATTTTTTGGAATTCAAACTAGGCTGTGGCAGGCTAAACAACGAGAGAGAGAGAGAGAGACGTGACAGAATAATATCTAGAGATGAGTTCCCTTTGGCAAGAACTCGACCAAAATTTGGAGGAAAAATGGGACTGCCCGACATATAGCACGTGGTACCAAAAGAAAATGGAAAATGAGAGAGTCTATGAATTTTTGGCCGAACGGAATCTTAACTTGGAAGATGTAAGAGTCATAATCTTAAGTCAGCGATCGTTGTCAGCGCTGCATGAGGTATTTGTTGTGGTGCGTAGGGAAGAAACCAAGAGAAAGGTGATGTTAAGAGAAGGAAAAAGGCCTGGAAGAATACGACACTAGTTCAGCCCTAATTGCTATTGGAATTGAGTCTATTGCGTCAGCCCACTCAATTAAAAGATCTGGGTTAGCCCAGTCTTCAATTAGACTGGCAAAACATGGATTGATATGGACTGGGCCTGGAACAAAATAAAGGGACGATCCTGGTGTAATCACTATCATAAATCGAGGCATAAAGAAGATACGGGTTGGGATTTACATTGAAAACTAGCGGATTGGAAATCAAGGCAAAATAAGAGGAATCGTAGCTACCAAGCACATGTTGACTTGAGCAGATGAAGCAACTATATAAAATATTTTCTTGTTTCCAAACATCCAGCCCATTAAGTTCATTAGCTTACAAGGGTAATTTTCCTCTCTTTTTTTGAAAGGTAATCAAGTATTTTATTAATTAAACCATAATACACATAAAGTGTATTATCAATACAAATACGAAAGAAACGACATAAAATTGGGCAGCACATCTATATGACTAGTAGCCACCGTATTAAACCAAGTGTACAATGTGAAATAAAACAATTCTCTAAGTTGTTCTTATTTGATCATCAAAATATCGACTGTTCCTTTCTCTCCACACACACCAAACTATGCAGTCCGGAATAAGCTCCCATGTAAGTTTGTTATCCATGTCGCGAAATTTTCTCCTTCATGCCTTTAACACGTCTTCCATACGCCTTGACATCACCCAATCTATGTGTTGTGATATGAAAATCTCATTCCACAGTAAACTAGCAACATCACAATGGAGGAACAAGTGATCAATCGTCTCACCATCCCTCCTACACATAAAGCACTACTCTTTTATACAAAAAACCCTTGTCTGTAGGTTTTTCGCCGTTAGCACCTGTCCTCTGACCACCGTCCATAGTAAAAATGCTACTCGTGGTGGCAATTTACTCTTCCACACCGCCTTCCAAGGAAAAGAGCTCTTCTCAGCTCCTAATAAAGATTTAAAGAAAGTGCCGACTGAAAACATGTCATCCCATGCCAATCTCTACCTGCTGCAATCATCTCTCCTGCCCTGATTTGTACCTCATATAAAGATGTCAAAAACAGCACGTAGTCATCTAACTCCCATTCTTGCAAACCCAGTGCAAAAGCAATGTTCCAACTGATACTCCCATTATGAATATCTAAAACATCATTCACCACGGCAGACGACAACAATGCAATACGATACAAGGAAGGAAATTTCAATCTTAGTGGTTGATCTCCACATCAACAATCATCCCAAAAATTGATAGTATTATCATTCCTCACTACAAAAGTCAATTTATCCCGAAAATCACTCCACCCTCGCCGGATATACCGCCACAGACTCACCCCATAAAAGTCTCGACTCTCAACTGAACACCATCTCCCCTCCATAACATCATATTTTGCTCCTATAATTTCTCTCCAAAAACACCCCTTCTCCGTTCCGAATCGCCACAACCACTTACCCAACAAATCTTTATTAAACAGTACGAGACTCCTTAATCCGAGACCACCCAACCTCATGGGAGAACATACGAGACCCCAATTAACCAAATGTAATTTCCTCTCCTGCCCTAATCCTCCCTAAAGAAACTCCCTTTGGATCCTCTCCAATTTTTTTGCCACTGCAACAGAAATAGGAAACAACATGAAGTAGGGAGGTTCGACAATATGGACCTTATGCGAGTAAGACGACGTCCCTTTGAGATGTACGTACACTTCCACCCCACTAGCCTTTTCTCCACCCTTTCAACAATACTATTCTAGATATGTGTGCTTTTAAATCGAGTTCCTAAAGGCAACCCAAGATATGTCATAGGCAATCACGTAACCCTGCATCATAGTATAGCAGCCAACTCCACCATGTTATCCACCTCTCCCACTGTGATAGCTTCTGATTTTCCCAGATTTATTTTCAATCCAGATACAGCTTCAAAACACAGGAGCAAATGCCGCAAATTCCTGATCTGCTCTACCTCTGCATCACAGAAAATCAGTATGTCGTCTGCGAAGAGCAAATGAGATACTTGTAACTGCTCAACCATAAAGCCCCTTAGTAAACTCTCCCCCATGGCCTTCTCGAGCATCCTACTGAAAGCCTCCATTACAATGACAAACAACAACTGGAATAAAGGATCCCCTTATTTCAATCCTCTACTACTACGAAAATAACCCTCTGGAATGCCATTCACCATAATTGAAAAGAAAACTGTGGAGATGCAAAACTGAATCCACTTACACCACTTATCCCCAAAGCCACATCGCCTGAGCATATACAAGAGAAATCTCCAATTTACGTGATCATAAGCTTTTTGAATGTCAAGCTTGCATAGCATTCTAGGAATACTCAAGCGCAATCTTGAGTCAATGCATTCATTTGCTATAAGTACTGAATCTAAAATCTGGCGTCCTTTAACGAAAGCATTCTGAAATTTGGACACCACTTTTTCCAGCACCTCCTTCAATCTATTTGCCAAAATCTTCGCAATAATCTTGTAAACTCTGCTCACGAAGCTAATAGGATGAAAGTCTTTACTATTCATCGCTCCTAGTTTCTTTGGAATCAGCACAATAAATGTAGCATTGGCACTTCTCAAGAACCTTCCACATTGAAATTAATAAGTAAGGACTTCGAAAATGTCCGATCGCACTACTTCCCAACAAGTTTTATAGAATGATAACGAAAATCCGTCCGATCCTGGGGCCTTATCATCATTCATGCTGAACACTACCTCCCTAATTTCATCCTCCGCAAAAGGCCTCTC